AAAAAATTAATAGAATTAATTTCAGATTAAATTTGAAAGTAAAAGTCAATACAAATTAGATAGTTTAGGTGATGGGCTCCGACCCTCTCTGTCAGTGCAAGTCCGTGTTAAGAGGGGTACAACATCCCTGCTGAAAGATTGAGACACACGATAAAAATTCTTCCAACACACTGGAATCGAACTCAGGATTTTTTCCGCGTGCGACGGCGAAGTGCCTAACCGCTACACCACAGACACTGAGCTTGTGTTCTAGATGATGTCATTGTCTGACTTCTCAAAATGTGATCCCAGATCAATTCTTTTTCTACTCCAATCTTTAGAAATCTAGGCTGCATAATTTTGCTAGTGGCGTTGCAGAGTTTCACATTGTCTCGTGTCTATCCCTATATTCACTGTCGTTCGTGCGCTCCCTTGCCTCAGTTAAAATCATGCTAGACTTCGAGCAGACGATACTTGTTCGAATCCCCAACATTGCGTTTTGTTTAGTTTTAGTAGAGGTTTTACGGCGCTTGCAACTGCATAAGGTGGTATAAGCGCCAGAAGATTAGAGGCGTTACAAGAGAGTAACAAATATAAAAAGAAGAAGGGGAGATAAGGAAGATAGATGTTTCATAGGAAAGAAGAAGCAAACCACACCAGAGCAGCCGTCATCCACCCATTGCGTTTTGAGTTCGGGTTGCTTTGCAGATTTGTTAAGGCTTTTAACCCCCTTGGCTAGGTCTTACGTCGGATTTTCAGTTCGGAAGTCCAACACCTCTTAAATAACTGACAGTGAAAAAACCGGCGTTAAACATTATATACACTTGCTCCCTTACTTACTTACTCACAGTATTGCAGTCATCTGTTGAGCCATATTTGGGCCTTCATCTTGAAGACAAAGATATGAGTTCTCAATACGCTAATGACGAACGTATTTAATTTATGTCGATATCTTTTATTTTACTCAAACAAGCAAACAAACAAACAAAGAGTCAAAACTCCAATCTAGTCATATCCGTACGTCATGTTTTACTATCGTATCCATACCATGTGGGGAAATCTGTGCCACCACTTTCCAAAGAGAAAATTTACTCGTTAATCCGATCCGTACGTTTTGTATAGCAGTCTGTCAAAATAAGTTTTTGAAAAATACTGAAAGTTCCAAAGAGATCTTCGTACTAGAAGTATTCTAAAATGTGAAGAATACAACCCAGGGGTACAAAATGACCCCAGGGCGTACGGATAGTGCTAGACAAGACTGGCCACTTACGTCTGTGGTGTTGTAGAACGGCCAGGCACCCCAGCTCCAATGAACCATAAAGTCGAGGACGTCATCGTCGTTGAAGAAACCGGGGGCGGGTGTGCTGAAGACAACAACAAGAAGCAGGATCGAGGAAGG